CCAATTATACTTAAATTTACACACAAATTAATGTTATATTACAAAAGCATTGAAGACATATAATACGTACAAATTATTAAATTCCTTTAAAAATTAAAGTAGTAGCCTGGGGAAACGCCTGAACTACTCACTAATTTGATGATTAAATAAACTCGTCCAGTCATCAAAATAAGCTAAAAAATACCCCTGGGTGCACTGCGCACTCGGGTATATATAACAATCTTTACACGCTATTTATTTAATAATTGCATAATTAATTTTATAACTTTTAATATGACAAGCCTCCAAAAAAATTTAAATCCTATTATTATTGACTTCTTTATTTTTATTTATTTTTAAAAATAATATCACTTCTCATCATAACTTCCACTATCATCCTCACTTCCAACTACAGTGTATACAATAACTTTCCCTAAATATACGATAATTATTAATCATATCTTTAAAAAATCTAATCATATTTTTTAAAAAAAATGATAATTATAACAAATGTATATGATGATATATACAATAAAATAAAAGTCATGAAATAATCAAAGTAGTCCCAATATAAAAAGGTAATAAGAAAAGGTAAATAGACGGATTAATCTATATATATCAAATCGTAACAATTAAACACTTACTTCTTATTATTGGTATTGATCTAATCTAACCACTTTCTTAATTTGCATGTCAAAAAGAGTGCTGCGTGTTAAAAGAAATGGAGGAAATATAGTTTTTACTAGTATATTTCTTTTGTAACACGTAGCTTGAGAAATTTTGATTACAATATTGTATTGAAAAGGAAAAATTCACTTGATTAATCCCAACTATTATTAGTGTTCTCATACTAATCTCAATTATGGGTTATTATGAAATAATCCCAACTATGAGGTATCTTCGTGAAATGATCCCTGACCTACATTAACTGTTGTAGCAGGTTACTTGGGCTCCATGGCATATCATGATTAGCTTATAATTTTATTTTACCTGAATTTATCAACTAAAAAAAAAAAAGCATTGCCTTAGTAGTGCTTGCTGTTCAAATTGGTATCTCTCAAGCGGTAGTGTCTTTCTTCTTGAATTAAAATTCTGAAAGCTTTTAATATTTTTGGCTGCATCATTAAAAAAAATAAAAAAATAAAAAAAATAAATTAAAGTCGATCTTGACTTTTTAGTAGTTAGTTCATTGTTGAGCTCAGTTCATCAAAAAAATTATGTACTCTTTTCCTGATGTAATTTGAAAAATAAAAATTCTTATATGTGGCTGGTCACATCGTTTGGCCAATTATAATAGGGGTTACTCGGTCAGTAATTGTTGGGCCCGCATTTTCCTAGAAGCCCAAAAGTCACAAGCTGCGCCCTAAAGACTTAGAAGCGAGACAAATAAGGAAGGATCAAAGCAACGACTTGATTGGCACAATTATGGCAAGAAGATCAATCAAGAAGGCAACAAGGAAATTACACCAAAAATACGAAGGGAAAGTCAAAGCAAGGAAATCAATTACGATTATTCTCTTCTTGATTAGATTACGGAATATTTGTGTAAACCCTATGAATCCCTAAGTATAAATAGCTGAAAAAACGATGTAAAGCTCATTCATACATAATCACTCGAATATTTTACTAGAAAACTGAATACAAAACATAGGCATTCTGACCATTGCAGTTGTCCATACTCAGTATTTTCACTTACTTTCTCTAGTTCTTTCTTTAAGCTTTGTTCGTTTATTGTAGTATTGTTCTTTGTTGTTTTGATTGTCTTTTGCATGATTGATTATTAATACCCCTAAAACCTTAAACAGATTCCTAGAACTACCCTTTTAAGGGGGCGTTTGGTTCGAGTATTCTAGGTATCAGGTATGGGTTAAAATGAGTAAAACTCATACCTTGTGTTTGATAAGCAATTTTATAAATTTCAAACTCATACCTCAAACCCATGAGGTATAAGGTTTTGAAACCTTGGGGGGAGGTGGGTTTAGCCCATACCATCCCTCCAAGTATCAAAATAAAAAAGCAGGGGATGAAGAGGATGGGAAAAAAAAATCACATTTGCCGTCAGGTATGCTTTTCAATTTTTTCAATTTTTTTTGCTTAGAGCTATTTTTTACTAAGAGATTTGCGTGAGTTTCTTTGTTGGGTGTATAATATACCAGTTTTGCCGGCGAGATTTCGCAAAAGAGGAAGAAGAAGCATTAATTGTTTAATTGGAGTTGAGTTGTGAACTACAATGGAAAGCAAAAGGGGGTTTTAAGAATGGATATTTGTTACAACTAGAACTAATGTTGAACAAGTTTCCAGGTTGTGGTTTAAAAGCGATCCCTCACATTGAATCAAAGTTCAAATGGTTCAAAGACAAATATGCTATAGTCTCATAAACGGTGAATAAGACATCTGGGTTTCAATGGGATGATGAAACTAAAATGATCCAGTGTGAAAGACAAGCTTATGATGATTTTCGCAAGGTAATGGTTAAATGTTTACATATTATTTTAGATCAATTATTTATATTTCCCTCATTCTTATAATTTGTTAATATGTTTTTTTTTTACTCATCCTAAAGCTACAGGATTATGGAAGACTCCAGCCTAACAAGTTAGATGATATTTTTGGTGTTGATTGAGCCAATGGCTTAGCATTCGAGTTGCCAGAAGACTATCCATTGTCTTGAAAAAGAAACTATTCCCCTCGACAATGAAAGTGATGATGACACTGTTTTTATATCTCAGTCATTTATCTTAGGTACAAATGATGCTCAATCACAACCTCCTCCATCCAAGAGAATGAAAAAGGAAAAGACTCCAAAGCGTAATGACAAAAGGAGTGCTATGTAGTAGAATGTTACAAATGCCAATTTCCTACAATATTTTTTAATTTTTATGTACTAAAATTTTAATATGTTGATTCTTGATTCCAACATTATGAACCAAACACTAGGTAAGGGGATGATGCTCATTCAAGAAATGAACCAAACACAAGATATTAGGAATTAAGTTTCAACCCCATACCATCTGGTTTCATTCCTGATTCCAAACCCATACCACGCACAAGACAGACTATTTGAAAAATTTTGTCGTGAATGTAATTCTGATGTACATCTATTTCATTCATAACAAGAAAGTGGAAAATCATTATCAAAATTATACCAAGAGGCCTTAATCTTTAGTGAAATACCTTATCATTATGCTTTCATCTCCTATTAAATTGCATAAAATAGTTTCCAGGATACTAAATATCTTAGTGTTGGAAGCTTGTATGTGTTATTAAAATTGAAAATTAAAAAAAAAAAAATTACCTGCTTAACCAGTTGCAAGTCATACTGGATCATTTTTGGTAGGCACCCCTCATAATTGGGATTAATATGGAAAGATCACTTGTAGTTGGGATTAAATTGCATAAAGTCCAGTTATTACAATATTACTAAAACGGAAGAAGTATTCCATAGTTGAATTAAAATGGAAAGAACACCCGTAGTTGAGATTAATCATTTGAATTTTTCCTATTGAAAAATATGCAAAAACCAAATTGGACAAAAAAAAAAAGGTCATTTGAGTCTTATTTCTCGCTCTTAACAAATTTGTATACTAATTTATCCGCCTTTAAAACTCGCTTGTCATTGCAAATTTCAACTAACTATTTATTAATTACTAGATTAGTGTCCGTCGATGCACGACAGTAATAATCTTTTCCCATAATTAATTGTGACATAATACAAAAATGAGGCAACTTATGTGGAATAAACAAATGCAATGCATATAGAAAAATAAAAGAATAAGGCAAAAATTATTAAAACTATAATTGAGAAAAAAAAAATTATTGTTGATTATAGTTGTGTTGAAAATATTTAAAAACAGTATACATTATATTACACTAATGATGTATATTATTTCTCAATAAAACTATACAATCTAGTGACTATGTGACTAAGACTTATTTATGAATGCTTTTAATAAACATGAAAATATTAATCAAACAATAGAATAAAATCTACAGCAAAACTATTAGCACAACATACATGTAAGTATATAAATTACAAATAATATATCACCTTTATATCCAATAAAATAATATCAGTGGAAATAAATACTACTTGGATTATTAAAGGCAATTATAATCCACAATTAGGCAGCACTAACCTACATTATTAATAGTACATTTTCATTTTATGAATTGATGCTCTACATGATATTGTCGCTCTTTGTTATTATATAAAAATGTGTTTGGTATCCAATAATTCTAGTTTGATCATTATTTGTTTATTAGCTTAAAATTTTATTTGTAGATGATAACTATTTATCGAAAAAAAAAGGATACGTGTCTATAATTTAGCAAACGATAATAATTTTTTTGTATTTACTAAGATATTAATGTAACAAAAAAATTTGATTGATATTTCACATTTTCCTAGATATAGACCTATGATATAGTTGTTGAACACAACATTTATTTTATAGTCATATCTAATACTCCATTAGTCTAAGAAACAACATATTAGAGGTATTTGAAAAAAAAAATTAAAGTGATGTTTTAAAGTATTTTCTTTAATATCAATTATATAAATCAATTTTATTATTACTTTTTGAGAAAAATTCAATAATACTCCGTCTAAACGGTGTCTAGGCGGTAATGATAGTATCTTATACCTAAACCAGTGGCTTACTTTTTCTAAAATTAAAAGAAAAAAGTTCGAATAATATAGTTTTGGTAAATGTGTATGGAAAAATTAAGAACACAAAATAAAAAGAAATAAATTTTATGTAAGGATAATATATAAGATTTGGATAATTTTTATTATAGTTGTATTATAAAAATATTCCAAAAATAAAAGTTTTTTATTATGTAAAAAATAAAAAAAATAAAAAAAAAAGTTGCTAAAAGGGAAGGGAAGTTTTGGAGCCAGGAAGTGACACGTGTCATTCCTGGTGTCTATTTTAGTATTATGTTATTGATTACTCAATAAAAATTGTAAGAATTTGATATTTGCAAAGTATCAATCAAGATGAATGAGACAAGACATTTTGTTCACAATATCATATTGACCATGCATTAAAAGCAGCAAAAGCTAGGAGTGAAAGTTCAGTGTTTGGTTTGGATTATGGCCCAAACCAAAACCAAACCAAAATAATTCGGTTTCAAAATTTTCAATTCGAATCCAAACCGAAATAGAATTCGGTCCAAACCAAACCGAACCCAATTTCTGATAAGCAAACCGAAACTGATTCATAACCCGAATTTTTCACCTCATAAGCAAACTAAATAATTAAAAGAGAAAATAACACAAATTAAATTGACAAATAACTTTAAAACTATATTATATTATTTATCAACTATTACTGTATTACAAGGCTTAAATTTGCCCACTAATATTAACATTAAAAGACATACAAATTTATAAAAAAAAAAAAAAAAAAAAAAAAACAGATGTTATGCTCATCAACAACTTCAGATTCATCATCAACATTACCTAAAAACGAGTGGTGAGAGATGAGTTGTGTGGTAAGGCCAAAGAAACAAGCGGTGAGAGCGGTGGTGATTGCCTAACTGGTGAGGCCGTGGGGGAGGATCGGTGGTAAGGTCGTGAGGGAGGATCGATGGCTGCGTGAGAATTCTGAGAAAGGGGGAAAACCTAAGAAACTAAGGGAAAGAATGGGGAAGGCTGAAAGGGAAAAGAGGGTAAAGAAATTAGGGTTTTCATTTATATATGAAGGGAAATATGGGTTGGGATATTGGGCTTTATATAAATTCGGTTTGGAAATTCGGTTTTCAGTTTTTGGAAGCCCAAAACCAAAACCAAAACCAAAACCAATCTGCAATTCATATTTTTTTAAAATCCCAAACCGATCCAAACCAAATTCCCAGAAAAACCGAACAGGATTGTTAATTCAGCTTGGATCGATTCGTTTTTCGGTTTTAATCCATATCACTTTCACCCCTAGCAAAAGCTAAAACAAATTAACTAGTTGAACATATTGCACATTTACACAAACAAATCTTTCATAAAAATGTGTAGCATCTAACAATAAATTAAATTATAAATTAAAAACAGTTCCCTGTATGATTTGTACTAAAGAAGTATAAGTACCATATATTGCGATCAATACACTCAATACAACAGTAGCTACCACTAATAACCCCTCACCTCTCATGTAATTGCCTGAAATTTTTATATAGCACAAGCATGGAAGTGTGATTGATGCAGTAATGCTAAGAAATGCTCCTACAAGAGACATGAGATACCCGAAAAACGGAACAACCAATGCTACAATGACTTGAGTAGCAACCAAACTTGTTCTTAACACAAGTTTGAAATGCTTTTTCTTGTGATGATTTGGGAACCAGCTCTCAGTAGAATTCACAACAGGTTCTAACATCAGCGCGTACTTGGATAGAGGATTAACCAAAGTCGTATAGATTGCAATTTTAGAGAACATTTTATCTGTTGGGAGGTTCAGAGTTATTTGTGATTCAACTTCCGAACCATACATCAGGTATCCAATGATTGCCATTGATGCATAACCAATAGTCGAACAGAGAAAACAGAGAAGTAGTACCTGCCATAAGAAAACACAAACTTAAGAATTCAGAGATTTGCACATTCTTATGTAGCATTACTTGCTTGTATATGATTATTGCTAAATTTCAATCAAGTAGGCCTAATTAAGAATTTTCTTTTTAACTATATAGAAATAATCGACGACTACCAGCTCTAACAACAATCCTAACGATGTAAATAATAATAGACAATAGATAAAGTGTTAACTAAAAAAGTTTACCTTAGAAAACTGATGTTTTTGCTGCATTGAGTTGTACAAGGTAGGAAAAACAGGATGCGCGCAATAGCAGAAGCCATACAAGCTAACTGATGTAGGAATTCCTGACCAGTTTAGTAGATCACCCTTGCTTTGAAATCCAATCTCATCAAACGTTCCAACACATAAAATCGACACAATAATCACAACAGAAGCGAGGACACCAGTAGCAGAGATGTACGAAAGAATACTAAGATTATCCAACCAAACCGAGGGAAGAATGATAAGGGCAATAAGCAGCACAAAACTCTCTCTTCCTCCAAGTTGCAGCCAAGAAGTTTCTAATTTCAGACCAGGAAAAAGGTTATGTAGATTGTCGCCTTCTAAGATTAGGAAACCTGTAACGACTAAGTATAACTCTGTGCACATAAATACTGATGTTATTGTTCTTCCGATCTTCCCAAATGCACGCTCCCCTATATCAGGGTATGTTCTTATGCTTGAATCAGCTTCCATGCATCGCTTTATAAGCAAACCCGTGTAGAATGCTGCTGTCGCGACAATGAAGATCAATATCAGACTTAACCAACCACCTGATGCTAGGGCATATGGTACTGATAGAATTCCAACCCCTGATACATTCATATAATAAGATGAAAAAAAAGTTAAAAATGTTTTTCCCCTAGCCTTCCACTTCATCTATTGATCTATTTCTCTGAATTCTCCTCTAACTTCCATAGAAATGAAGTGGACAATTTGCTTTTTGTAATTTATGTCCTATTTTAAGCAAAACATCTATGGAGGGAAGATTTTCAACATAATAAGGACAATTAATGACGAGACATTTCCAAATTCTTTTTGTTTTGTAATGGTGAAAAAAAAAAATCATGCAATTCATTAGTTAGTGGAATTGTTGATTGGGTTTTTTTCCTTAATTATTTGGGAGGGAAACGTACGTGTCACACTGATCAATTACTCAATGTGTAATGGGTATCTATTGATTCATAGAATCACAGCAAATAGTTGATAATTTATCCTTCATCCTGTGTTTATTGAGTATGAATAATGACTGTCAATTTTGTTCTATAGTACTGTATATGAAAGTGATGATTATTGTTTCAATTTTCTTCGAGTATTTATTTTTATTTCTTTTGGTCAAATAAATAAACAGTTGAGATTACTTATATAAAATTTAAGGGTTTAGATTTAAAACAGTTGTAATGGCTACAAATATAGTGTAACCATTGAATAGTTTATACTGTATTTTTTTATTGTAAATAAATAAAAATAAATAAATTAATTAATTAAGGAAAAAAAAAAAGACAAAAAAAACCATCCTAGGAGTATCGGAGGAGAGGGTTTATTTTTTGGGAAACCCCTCCTAAAATTAAGATCTTAGCCAACTAGGTGCTAATGGTCCTTGCATGTCCGGGCAGGAGGCTTTCGTTGCTTTGTGAAACCAGCCTCACACGGTCCCCTCCGCTTTAGCTCCCATGAAGATCGGGGCCTTCGCCCAACCCACGATGGTCCAACTCCTAACTTAGTGTTTAATTATAGTATCATACTAGGTTAGGCCCGTGCATCGCACGGTTTTTACAAAAATTCTGCTCATCTATTTGCAATGTACTTGTAAATGATTTTAAACTTATTTTAAATCAATTTTTTTTATATATAATGTATAGATAGTAGCATTTGCAACAAGTACTTGTGGTGCCATAGGAGAAGTCGTGAAAATAGAAGGGGAATAGGCCTTTAGGATTAAGGAATCTAATACCATGCATATAGAGAATGGAGAGAATATATTGAGGGAAGTTACGAGTATTTATAGTGATTACAAGCAGCATATTTATAGTGATTACAAAAGTATATGATATTAGCAACTATAATAATTCTAGGAGGAAGTTACGAGAGAATATATACAAAGCTATAGCTAGGAGCTTATGGAATAGTAATAAAACAGTTAATTGTTATAAATAAGGATTGACTAGGAATCAGTCAATCGTTATCAAGTGGTTGTGATTATGGACTTGCATAAAATAAAAAATAAAGAATAAAAAAAAAACAAAAAACTACTTAATATACTCAATAAGTGCTCAAAGTAAAATATAATGACATTAAATTTATGTCAGCGGGAAAATTTTTCTTGTAAAGTTGCTACGTGCATAAAATTGACGTCAGCGGTTGCTATTTTAGTGTTATTTACTAGATAATATCCGAGTCATGCTCGGTTTTTAAGGGTAATTGAAATTAAATATAGAAGACTCATGAAAAATGTAATTTGAAAGTCCATCATTAAAATAAATACTCCCTCCGTTTTTTTAAATGAATTATCACTTGGTGATGCACGGAGAATATGTTTTTGTTAAATATAGAAGTATTTGTTCTCTCCATATATTTTAAATATAGAAGTATTTGTTCTATCCATATTTTATATACTTCGTGTGAAAATGTAGGATATGTTTCATTTTAGCGTATATATCATGTTAATGGTATAATAAATTATCAAATTACGTAGCAAAATTTTTACCATTCACTATAAAAAAATTATGTATTGACTTCAAGTATTTTACTTGTTGAATTGATTACCTTAATATTTTGATGATTGACTTACATAAAACAAACTCTGACTAATGATGTTTATGAGTCTTGGTTGAACAGAAAGATTCAGGTACACAAATACATGTTCCGGAGTAGGAACAACAGAGTTTGGAAGACTTGATGATGAATGCAAGCTTTCAAGATGTCCTCACAACTCTATATACTTAGTTACTCAGTGTACGAGCTTAAGAAACAAAAGTGTTGGAAGGAATGGAAGGAATTAAGAAGAAACTCGAAGTTCCTGAAGGAACCTGTAGTTCTCGAAGGAACTTGACGATTGACTCAGAAAGTTTTAAACGAAAGTTTTAAAACAGTTTTCATATCCCTTAATTTAAGGAAGTGATAAAAATCAGTTTTGAAAAAGATTTAAAAAGATTTTATAAATAAATAAATAATTCATTAATTTAAAAAGATAAGTTTTAAATTAATTAATTATTTATCTTTTAATTAATAAATAAATAATTATCTTTTTTATTAAATAATTATCTTTTTGAATAACTGATTTTTTTGACTTGGTAAATACTGGCTCCTAGTATTAAGGAGAACGTTGAACTTGGGAGTCAAGCTAAGGAAATCATGTTCCTAAATTTCCTCTGCCTACATCCCAACTTCTCAGCCAAAGAGAACGTGGGATTAAGGGGGAAGTGGGAATTTGATGGAAGCTTGAATATTCTCTTTATAAAAATAGATCAACGGGCTTTTTGAAAGTGTGGAAAAACAATCTTAAGTATTCTGAGCATAGAGTTTCAAAGTGTTTAAAAGAGAAGTTCCTTCCATCCTTAGTCTCTTAAGTTCTTTAGGAAATACTTGTAATCATTGTGTAATTGGGTTTGGGTTGTGAGAGTTGTAAAGTGTGAGACTTGAGAGAGTTGTTTACACTGTACAAGTGATTCGGAGTAGAATCACAAAGTGTGAGAAACTGTGATTGAGGGATCACAGTTGGGTAACTTGAGTTCCTCACGGAACTTGAGTCTAGGCAACGTATTAGTGATTGTAAATCATTTTTACATAGTGAATTTATTCATTGCCTATCTCAGTGTCTATTCTCTTAGTAGTAGATTTAATTCCGCAAAATTTACCATAGTCTACATACACTACAATTCACCCCCCCCCCCTCTTGTAGTATACATTGTTCTATCAATTTGTATCAGAGCAAGGAACTCGGAAAAGCAGGAAGCCCTGTCGAGTCAAGTTCCTGGAGGAACAATGTCGAAGGACGAGAGACCAGCTGAAGGTTATTCTACACAAAGACCTCCACTCTTCAATGGGAAGTACTACGCCTATTGGAAGACGAGGATGGAGATGTTCATACAGTCCGAGAATTATCAAGTCTGGCGAGCTATCGAGGTAGGAGATTACGAGGTAACAAAGACCAATGCAGAAAACGAGGTAATTCCTAAACCTATTTCTGAATACGATAGAAGCGACTTTGAGAAGAAAGAGATTAATGCTACTGCTAAAAAACTCCTAGTTTGGGGTTTAGGGCCAGATGAACACACTCGTGTTATGGGATGTAAAACAGCAAAAGAAATATGGGATTTACTAGAAATAACCCACGAAGGAACTCATGAAGTTAAACGTTCTAAAATGGTATACTGCTTTCTAAATATGAACGTTTTGAAATGAGTTCAAAAGAAACTATTTAAGAAATGTTTACTCGTTTTAAAAATATTACTAATGAATTAGTTTCTCTTGGTAGAGTTATTCCTATGGATGAACAGGTACGCAAAATTCTAAGGAGTCTTCCTGAAGATGAACGGTGGAGATCCAAAGTGGCAGCTTTGCAGGAATCAAAGGACTTTACAACTTTCAACCTTGAACAACTTGCAGGTTCCTTAATAACTCATGAGCTTCACCAATCAAACAAAAGCCAAGAAAGTTCAAAGAGCCGAGGAATTGCTCTAAAGGTTGTCCAACCAAGTGAAGAGGATTCCGAATCTGGAGAGGAAGAAGCTGCCATGCTAGTCAGGAAGCTAAAAAAGCTGTACCGCAACAAAAGGTTTGGTGACCAAAAGAAAAGGAACTTCAAGAAAAACCAATATTCCAAGGAAACTGGAGGATGCCACAAATGTGGGAACACAAATCACTTCATCAAGGAATGCCCTCTCTGGGAATCAGAAAAAGGAAAAGGCAAAATGAAGGAACACGGAAAATCTAATACTCTAAACTTTTCAAAATCTGATTACAGGAAAGCCATGATAGCTGCGTGGGGAGACACAAGTTCCGAGGATGAAGAAGAATCCACGGAAGAAGAGACAGCAAACCTGTGTTTGATGGCTAAACACAGTGAGTCTGCTAAAAAGTCAGAGGAGGTAAATCTCAAACCTAAATTTCTGAAATCCCTGTCAAAAGACAAATTAATTTCTTTGCTCATAGAAACGTTGGATGAATATAAAGAAATATGTCTTAAACTTGGACAAAATGAAAAAGCTCTAGAAATCTATAAGGATCATATGAAATATTTGAATAGTTCAAAAACAAATGTTCAGGGAAGATTCTTTGATTTGTTAGATAGAAACTCTATGCTAAAGGAAACATTGGAAAGAGTCAAAAATGAAAATATCATGTTAAATGTTGAATTGACTCAGTATAAATTGTTATGCACTAACATTGATTCTAATAATGCTCTTCAATTGCCTTTAGTGACCTTTAATGATGATCTTGAAAATTTGAAAAAAGAATTGCAGGTTACTAAAGACAAAAATGAATCCTTTGAAAAGGATTTAAAAAGAGATAGAAACAACAAAAGTGCAATCCACATGGGAGTTCCAAAGTGGATATCTGAAGCTCAAACCAGAAGGACAGAGGGTTTGGGTTTCAACCACAAAAAGAAGAACAGTGGTAAAAAGAAAAAGTACATGGAACTCCCTAGTGAGACTGTGTGTTCCTTCTGTGGCAAGTCAGTACACAAAGATACTGATTGCAAAAGAAAGGAACTTAAGTCCACTAAAAATATAGCTTATGTATGGCAAAAGAAAAATGAGTTTGCTGTATCAACAAAGGAACCCATGAAAGATGGGGTTCCTGAATCTAA